CCCATGCCACAAGCGCTCATGCAACCCCATACCATCAGTGATGCAGGGTTCTGAACGGAGCGTTGATAACAACTTTTTCTATCCTTGTCCTCTCTGGTCCGGACGACATGGCGTCCCAGTGTTCCATAAAGAACTTCAAATCGTGACTCATCTGACCACAGAACAGTCTTCCATTTTGCCACACTCCATTTTAAATGACCCCTGGCCCATTGCAAACGTCTGAGCTTGTGGAGCTTGCTTAGAAATGGCTTCCTCTTTGCACTGTAGAGTTTCAGCTGGCAACGGCGGATGGCACGGTGGATTGTGTTCACTGACGATGCTTTCTGGAAGTATTCCTGAGCCCATTCTGTTATTTCCTTGACAGTGGCATTCCTGTTTAAGGTGTAGTGACGTTTAAGGGCCCGGAGATCACGAGCATCCAGTTGAGTTTTACGGCATTGTCCCTTACGCACAGCGATTGTTCCAGATTCTCTGAATCTTTTGATGATGTTATGCACAGTTGATGATGATAACTTAAAAGTCTTTGCTATTTTACGCTGGGTAACACCATTCTGGTATTGCTGCACTATCTTTCTGCGCAACAATGGTGGAATTGGTGATTCTCTTTTATATATATATATATATATATATATATATATATATATATATATATATTTATACATATATACTTTTGGACATATGATAAAACAGCACGACGTGTGCAGTACGTGTTAGATGACAGTAAAACAAATAGAAAAATGAAAAGGAGGAAAAGAAGAGAGTGGATGCTGACTCAGCGTTCAGACAAATACTTGCCCTTTGACTCTCTCCTGAGTGTCCAGTCCAGCTGAGAGCAGGACAGACAATCAATTCCTTCTTTGTGTTCAACTCCCAGTAAATGAAAACTCAAAACACGTTACTGGAAATCTCCCATCACAAATGCTTGTTTTGAGGAAATAAATTCCCAAACGGACTGTTTTTTAAAACATCATCCTTTTATTTCATTCTAAAACGTTACTCTGTTCGTGCTCGACCAAAGGCCTAAAGCTGCGGTGTCCCGTAAACATTCCTCCAGGTATTAGTCCGCCCCGACGTTTGGGCTGACCTTGTTGCAGAACCTTCGGCTGCGAGTGGAGTTCATGGCTGAAGCTCAGCCACTGGTGAGGAAGAGGTTAAAAACTGGAGGAACCACAGAACAGAGCACTTCTAACAGGCAGCACGTCCATCGCTGTTCACATGTGTGTTTATGTGAACATGAGTGGGGGGAGATGTTGCTGGACTCCAGCAGGTGTTACTGGTGTTACTGGTTATAAGAAAAACATCCTGGATTGATTTCATGACAGAATGGATAGTTTCAAACAGAGATCCGTCCATTATCATCCACTTTTTACTTTTCGGGTCGCGGGGGCCACTGGTGTCCATATCCAGCAGTCACTGTGCAAGAGGTGGGGGACACCTGGACAGGTCTCCAGTCCATCACAGGGACATAGAGACAAACAACCATTCTCTCTGTCTCTCTCACTTAGAGATAATTTAGAGTTACCAATCAGTCTAACATGCATGTTTTTAGTCTGTGGGAGGAAACCGGAGCACCTGGAGAAAACCCACGCATGCACGGAGAGAACATGTAAACTCCACACAGAAAGGTCCCTGGCCGGGATTTGATCCGGCGACCTTCTTGCTGAGAGGCAACTGAGCCACCGTGCCCTTCAAACAGAGAGATCTGCTAAAACACGAGTTGTTGTGGTTCAACCATGAAAACAATGTGAGGCATGACCTGACGTGATATCAGGTGTTCAGAGGACGACTCTCAGCTACTACCACGTGAAACTCTCCAGCTCCTCTGCCTCCGTCTCACCGAGTCGTTAAGGATGAACTCCTGTGGATGATTTCATGAGCAACTCAGGCGTTCGTTACAGCCCAAATGTATGTTGTATATGCGTTTAATTCAAAAGTACAGACTTTATGTAACACATGTGGCACATCTGTATTTTACAACTTTGTGTACTAAGTTATATATCTTGTTAGAGATTTATTTTCACCAGAAAGAAAAGCGTTAGTAGTTCCCAAACGTTTTAGGACTTTCTGACCCACAAAATATACCAGTGACTCCATCACTGGGTGAAGTGGATCATTTAAATGTGATAATAAACATTTTTAAAAAGCATTTAACAAGAAACAAACCTAAACAACTATTACAGCAACCAGATGGACGGATAAATGAATGAATGAATAATGTTAATAATCATAATAAATTAAAATTGTGCACAATCATTTTTACATTTTAAGTGTTTAGCTCTCTTTAGCTTTAGCCTCCAGTTGGTTAAAAACAACAATATATTGGAGTTTTTACCAAAACAACGACCCAGCTAGCATACAGCCATCTTTAACAGTTGTGTAAGCGTCAGAGACTCCGTGCACTTACCGTGTACAGATGTTAGAGGAGCTCCGAGTCAAAGTGCGAACCGTGTATCCAGATGTTTGTCCGGTGATACCGCTTCGCTCCAGACACCGTGACACATACTGTTTCACAGCGGTGGGCGGAGTTCAAGTTGTTGTGGGCGTGGTTTCAAAGGGGTGGTACTGGTTCCCGTGTGGAGGGCGGAGTTTTGTTCATGTGGGCGGGGTTTCAGAGGACAACGCTTCAGACTGTCAACACTGTCTGTTCTGGGACTGGGAGAGAACCATCTACTAACAAGGTCAGGGAATTATGGGATGTTAAAGTCATTATTTCCAGCGAGTTCCTCATTAGTCCTCTGGAGGTTTTTGAAACAATGTAACATTTGTAAAGAATGAAATAAAACGAGGGAAATGATCTCACCCCTTTAAATGTATTTGGACAAGATGAGCATCACTGGTGGGCCACCTTCAGTGTGTTTGACTCCAAAAGGTAAACAGTTGCAGATACAAATACCATGATTACTTGCTGAATGTTTCATTAAATTTTGTCCTGTGGTTCATTAGATATTTGGCTAACAGACAACCAGGTTGACTGCAGTTAATGCTGCATTTTTAAAGATCTCATCCAAAGTGTAGCACTTAATTACTTTATATGTTGTGATTGACTTTCAGCTACAATCACAACAAATTTTAACTCAATATCTGTAAAGCTCATTGAACCACAGCCATTTGTGTGTTTTTATAGGTCACTTGTTTTTGGCAGCCATCTTGAATAGCATTATCTCCAAAACATAATGTGCTGTAGATGTTCATCCAGGTAATACTTCCTGAAGATTTTATTAAAATCTGTCCATCGGTTCACGAGTTATTTTGCTAACAGACACAAAAAAACCACACTTGCAGAAACCTTACCTTCTGCCTCCGCCTTTTGGCGGTGGACGATAAACAGGAGCATTTAAATAGGTCTAATTGTTCAAATAAAGCGCATACACAAGACGTTACAAAACATCCATTTTATTTAAAGATAGCTGAAGCCATAAAGAACAGCGGTGTGGCCCGGAACTACAGAGAGCAGAGCCGAGCGGTTTGAAACAAGACGTCTCAAAACAAGAGCAGCATTCATCATTCTGCGTGTGGTGTTCAAACACTGGAAATATAACACGTGAAGGCCACACGGGGTGATCTGAGCACAGCGCCGAGGTTTCTGCTCACGTGTTTACGGATGAACCCGAGGGACTGTCTTTGTCGAACTCTGTTACCAAAACTTAAAAACTTTGTCTGAGCCGCGGGCCACTTTCCATATCTTTTCTTGGCTGCCAGTTTATCGAGAGTTGATCTGTCTCATTCCACATCCACATCAGACTCAGACAGAATGATCCAGCTGCTAAGAGAAGTCTCCACTAAATGATGTATTTATCAGTTTTAAACAACAAATTGGAAGAGGTACAATCATTTACATTTAGATCGTCATCTTGGGGCCCGCGGCTCTGGTGCCCTAAAGGAACGCTACAAACAAAAGCACCTTCTAAAGGGACAGTCTGCTCAGTTTCCTTGGTGTTGTAGTGTTTTATCAGCCAGATTATACAACCATCAGCCGACTGAAGCTATAATTGTCTATCTGCTTGTCTTGACTTTGTGATAAAATAAACCAAAGAAGTGCAAAAATAATACTTTTTTTTTTGTTAATTTTACAAAAACGTGCCCAAATATTAAGAACTGATTTATTGGTGCTCTGAAATAAACTATAACCTTTGCACTACAGTTAGAGTTGCAAAATACTGGGATTATTCAAACGTTCCATGGGAATTATGAGGAGTTTATGGGAATTAGAGATTAAACCTGGACTTTGTTGTTCCAGCTGCTTCTTCTTCAGGGGTCACCATGAACTGACGCGCACGAGGACTTGGTTGTTTTTACTCCAGATGTCCTTCTTGATGCAACCACAGCCTCTGTGTGGAGCACAGCTGCATCTAGGGCGCCCAGGGGAGCAGATGGTGGGGGTTAAGGGTCTTGCTCAAGGGCCCAGAGTGGGCAAATGAGGTGTGGGTGCTTCATCTAGCCCACCCACATTTTGATGTTGTCGGTGCGGGGAGTTGAACCAGCGACAGGCTCGCCTTCTCTAACCTCTGCACCACCACTCCCCCTAAACCTGGGCTTTATAACGATACTATGACTCTTTGCGTTGTTGTCAAAATCAATTTAGTGACATTTGTTTAGTTTGAATGAATATAAACGACATAAAGCCAAAATATTTATGCTATAGTTTAAAGAGATGTGTGAATGTAAGACTTTTTTTTTTTTAAACGATGACAGCAGTTTGTTCAAATTATCCCAATTTTCAGTCAATTCCCACAATTGCCACTAATAATAATAAATATTAATAATAATTCCCAGTTTAAATTTGGAATATTTTCTAATTTCCCCATCTTAATGGAAAGTTGTTGGGGTTTTTTTAATCGGAAATTTCCAGGAAGTCCCTGTGCAGCTCTAACAATAGTCATGTTCATCAATCAGTGACCCTTACAGTGTAAGTGTTAAATATTAGAGAATCATTCATATCACATTATGTTTGTGAGAAAAAGTTTTGATATGAGCCTTTAAAACCAATAAAACAGCTCTTCTTTGGCTAGCTGTTAGCCTAGCCTGGAAGACTTTAGCCTCTTTCTCCGGCTGATAAGATCCTAACTATTGAAAATCACTTCAAAGTGACCAGATTATCACTTCATTGTTCTGTAGGATATTAAAAAAATGCTAAAAGAAACATTTAAAACTTTGTCTATCTTCCCTGTCATTTTACAGTACTCTGATATAAATACATTTCATGTAGTACTAGTATTCAAGTACCTGAGAGCGTTGTCACAGTTTTAATTTGGTCACAAGCAACAGTTCCAGGTGTTAAACATTAAAATAGTGAAAGCACTGAATACGACAGCATCGAGCAAATTCAACTGTTCAGATACTTGAAAGGCTGTAAACATTTTAAGGCTTGAGTGATTTTTTTTCACCTCCACATAGAAACGTCTAAAATGAAGGATCGCGCTACCACTAGTGGATCATTTCCCATTACGCCTTCATAATGTAACAAATCTGAGGACATGCCTAAACCAAAGGTTGCACTGAGTTCAAATGAAATGTTTAGTGCTATGAAAAGTAACAAGCTCTAATACAGTCCCTGTACTCATATATTAACTAAAGTATAAATAGCAATTAGGCTATAATACAAAGAATGGGAGGAAGTAGGTAGCTTGATCATGTCTGGAAGGGACCATTCAAATAAAGTCCAGCAGTGACTACCTCCCACCACAGGAGGGCGCTGGTACACTTGGCAATTTTGCTTCCATGCCTTTAATGCATCCTGTACTAATCTAACCTTTTTGCACGTTTTAACTGTTTCCATTAACACAAAGTTGAATTTTAAACAGATGAATCTAGATTAAAAAAGCAGAAGGTGTAAAACTATTTAAAATGTTCTGCTTCCCATAAATGTTTCATCTTCCAGAAACAAGTTTATTTCAAGTCAAATCAGTCTTTTTGCTAAAAACCTTTGTTAGATTAAGTGTGAGCGTGGAAAGGTTTTCACCACGTTCCACGCCTGAGTGTTAGAAGAACACGTTCAGGACGGGCTCCCCTGCTTTTCCACGGCCGTCAGGGCGCCGACGTCCAGTCTCCTCTGTGCTGAACCTTTTCTCCGGGCAGCTGCTACTACATTTCCCAGAGATCCTGGGGTTTGGAAGAAAGCTTTGGAAAACGAAGCTGCGGGTTCCTTCGGTGTGTGTGGAGTCTGTAACGAGACACAGAATGCACGTTTGACGAGTGCACACAGCATCCTACAGATTCAGTTCTGGTTAAACTGCACGGGGGCAAATCTTTGTCTTAAAATATAAAACACACAAACACACACCGTGGCAGAAACATTACAGCCCGTCTCTGACCTTTCAGCATTCACTGATAACTAACTGGACTGAGAGCAGTGGAATAAACAGGACTCTACGGATGAATGCCTCATTGCAGCCCAGTCAACGATCTGTTCTACTGTTTATATGGCTGTCCGTGCACGGCACCTCGCCAGCAGTTATGCAGGTCTCTGTGCACACTAGCATTAATCCTTATTAACGAGTTCGGAGACTTAATCAGCTCGAAGCGCTGTGACACAGGAACGCTGTTCAGGTGAATAAACAGATGCTGCGACATGTTTACGAGTCAAACTGTGCCGTGACATTTCACAAGAACCTGACATCACTCACGCATCATTCTGCAGACCAGTGTGTGCTCCAGGTTTTTTACCTTTGCAGGACAGTTTCTGGTTTAAACACCTACCTTGTCAGGACCAGTAGTAGCTCTAGCCCAGTACTAATACAGAGAAACATGATCTTTCTAGTTAGGTTTAGAAGTGATGTGTGAACTGGGATTACTGGTCATGGTTAGAGTCTGCTTTTAAACATTTACACAGTACACAATCTGCTCTATTAAGTTTTTAACAATATATTTTAGTAACTGTGTTGTTCTCCTGCTTTTAGATTTATCGGCTGCTTTAGACACAATGGACCGTCATTTGGAGCATCAAGGTGTGTGTGTGTGGGGGGGGGGGGCACCAGCAGTACAGCTCTAGACTGGTTTAGGTTCTACAGAGTAGAACTATGTACTTTCTGTGCCTGCCTTGGTGACCATGGTGACCTCTTCTGCTCTTCTTTTGTGAGGAGTCCCACAGGGCTCAGTTTTAGGCCCCCCTCCTCTTCACCCTGTACTTGCTCACTCTTGGCTCTATTTTTAGAAAATATGGGATCACCTTTCATTGTTATGCAGATTGCAGATGTATTTTCAGCAGACCAGATGCTCCTTTCAGTTCCAGAAACCTGTCGCAAGCTCAGAGGTGACAGGACTTTCTCTGTTGCAGGTCCAAGACTGTGTGGAATGAGTTGCCACTGTGTGTCAGGCAGGCTTCCTCCCACACTCAGTCTTTAAGTCTCATCTGAAAACCCACTTTTATTCCCTTGCCTTTGACACGGTGTGATTTGTTTTGATCCTGTCTGTAGTCTACAGTGATGGCCATTTAGTTATTATCCACTGCTATTTGTATCTTTATTTTATGTTTTCCTGTCCACTGTGATTGTTTGTTTCTATTGTACAGCACTTTGGTTGGCCTTGTTGCTGTTTTAAGTGCTCTATAAATAAATTGTTATGGTATGGATATGGTACTTTCTGTGTCTGCCTTGGTGACCTCTTCTGCTCCTCTTTTGTGAGGAGTCCCACAAGGCTCAGTTTTAGGCCGTCCCTCCTCTTCACCCTGTATTTGCTCACTCTTTGCTCTATTTTTAGAAAATATGGGATCACCTTTCATTGTTACGCAGATGACACCCCAGATATGTCCTGCTAAAGAAAAAGGACTCCAACTCTGAAGCTTCTGTTTTCATGTGTGGAGGACGTAAAAGCCTGGATGGCTATGAACTTTTTAAAGTTTAAGAGAAAAATACTGAGGTGAGGATTAGTTTGAGTCTGAGTTTGCTGTGGCTCCTCAGACTGATGAAGTCTTTTGGATGAAACAAAATGTTTCAACTCAAAAAAACGTCCAGAGGACCTGACTTAACTTTGTTGGTTTTCGGGAGCCCCACTGAGACCCCCTATGTAGATGTTGGTTCCTTGGATCAGTACATCAGGCCAACTGTTACAAATCTTGGGGTCAAAGTCGATGCTGAACTAAAGTTAGAAAATCACATCAGATCCAGTATTTTTCATGTATTCCCTGATCAATTCCAGTCCAGAAAAACACTCATCTGAAAAACTGCAGACATTCACTATTGAAATCCTTCAGCAACTGGGGACATTGGCGCACCACTTGTAACCTTTTAGAATCCAAACCTGCAGGACAAAAACATCCTACGATGGAAAATCCCATCCCTCATGAAATATTACTTCTAAAATCTGTGCATGTGCTGGATCATAGATGAGCACAGTGCTCGACAAGCACTTTCCTTCTGTGAAACATGCCTGAGAACAGCTGGAAGTGATGATGAGCAGCAAAGAAGAAGGTTTTAAGTCAAATCAGAGACAACCTGTCTGAGCAATAAGTAATTATTCTGTCATTAACAGCTGACAACATAAATGAGCAACAGAAACAAGACTCTTACAAAACAATTTTACAAAATCTGACTGGCCGCAAACACCAGTCAGATTTTATGCTGCCCCTGACTGTACATTAAACACTGATGAAGCGGCCACATCCCGCACAGTCGTGAATTTTCAGAAATGAAGCAAGCATCACAAAAACATGGCAAATAGACTGTACTTATATAGAGCTATCTAATCAAGATACTCAGAGCTCTTTACAACACCATCTGTGCCCTCATTTACCTCCACACATATTCATACACTGATGGACACGCATCAGAGGCAACGAGGGGTTCAGTGTCTTTGCCCAGGGACACTTCAACCTGTGACTGCTGCTGGAATTGAACCCCCTACTCTCCCATTGCAGGACAACTGTTCTAACCACTCAGCCACAGCTGCCCCGCAGCCCCAATAAGGCGAGTGCAGAACTCAACTGGCTTGACGTGGAGCACAATGAAATAAAAGTGATGAAAAATCAGACACATTTTAAGCAGCAACATTTAGGCCTGTCGTGATAAACAATTAATCAATTCATCGCAGGACAAATGAAAATGATCGACCTCATTTTCATTTATCGGCTTTATCGTTTCTTCGTGTCTCTCTTTCTACTGAAGACACTGGATGACAAAAGGCTCAACTCCGGTGCTCTTCACTGACCCTTCCCTTTCTCTTTAAAATCCATTTTAACCTCCCCCCAATTTTTTTTTTGTTGAAGCTCCAAAATTCACAGCTGAAACTCGTGCCTTCGTGTAAAAAGTTGTTTCTCTGCAAAAAGAAGATGAGAACTTGTTTACTGATTTTTTTTATTAAAAGCTTTGTGTGAAAAATGCTAAAGAGCTCAAACCACACCGAGCGTCCGCCATTTTGAGAACCGAAAAACCAGAATGAGACAACCCATGTCACGTCAAGGGGCCTCCCTCCCATTTTTCTTAGAGACACGCTGCTCGCTCCTCACTATCCATCCTTCAGTTCAGACAGTCTTATAATGCCATCCGGTGGTCAAAAAGGTACTACACACAATAATTAACCAAGATATATTCTTAAATTTGACAATAATTACCAATTATTGTGAAATTTCAAACAATATTATCGTTTATCGCAATAATTTCTGAGACAATTAATCGCCCAGTACAATTTGTTATCGTGACAGGCCTAGCAACATTCACAAAAACTACGAGCCCTATTCTGAAGAGACAGTGTTATGATGTAATAAGGATTAAAACACAAACGTGTGCGTGTGCAGGGCTGTAACTCACCAGAGGTTCCTGAGTGTTAACGTTGACGATCTGTCGAGGCCCTGAAGGAGAATGTGGTGTGCCCCCCGCTGACATGTAACGTCTGTTCAGTTCTGGAGTCACGGGCGATGAAAGCTGTGACCTGCTGACCTCTGGCACCGTCGTCACGCTGTAAGGCGTCGCCCCCACCATAAAGTGAGTGGGAGACACCATGGCAGGCAGGCTGAAGCCCAGACTGGTGGGGCTATCGGAGCTTTGCTGCTGTATGCTACTGGCCAACAGAGGGTACTGGGAGATGGCAGCAGAAGGTACCAGGACGTATGGCAGTGCCATGGTGGGAGGAAGTGTTATGCTGGCTGGGGGCTGTCCGGCTGGGATGAGGAAGTTCAGGCTGTTTAGTCCTGATAAAACAGGTAAGACTTTTCAGTTTGACTGCGTGGGAATGTGCAGGAAATATAAACCTTTGTCACTTGAATGAACTGAACAGTACAGAATGGTGCTGAAAGTATTCACATATGATTGCAGGGGTCAGGATGAGCACATTACCTGCACTGTTGGGCACATAGAGGTAGTGCGATGGCAGGGCGTGCTCGCTGCTGCTTTGACTCTCTGGGGCCCTCGGCTGGACAGGAAGACACGATGACGTCTCAGCGGTACTCGTCTGAGAAACTACCTCTCTGAGAAGTTCAGCTCTCATCTGCACATAAATAAACAAAACTGTGGATAAAACAATACGAATACACAGACTGAGAAACAGCCCTGGAGCTTCACCGTCTCATTTTAGCATATTTGGAACAAACACTTTCAGAATCTGTCAGATTTGTACACAGAAATTTAGTCTGGACACAGATTCTCAGTTGGATTTAGACCTGGATTTTTAATTTAACGGCCTGCTGTGTTGTTTGTCAGACATCCACGACTTTGGGAATTTCCTACAAGTCTCATGACGTCATCCCTAGACCTGTCGCGATAAACAATAAATCAATTAATCGCATGATAAATGAAAATTATCAACCTCATTTTAATTTATCAGCTTTATCGTTTCTTCGTGTCTCTCTTTCTACTGAAGACACTTGATGAACAAAAGACTCAACTCCCTGTTCTTCACTGAACCCTCCCTTTCTCTGTTCTCTTTAAAATCTGTTTTAACCGTCTAAAATCGTGTTGTTGGATCATTAAAAGCAGCTAAGCTGAGAAGCTAAGCTACGAGCTAAGCTAACAGGCCGATCTCGAGAAAAAACCTCCGGCTTGTCAAAGCTCTAAAAATTCATGGTTGAAACTCGTGTTTTTGTGTAAAAAGTTGTTTTTCTCTGCAAAAAGAAGCTGAGAACTTGTTATTGAATTTTTATTAAAAACTTTGTGTGAAAAATGCTAAAGAGCTCAAACCACACCGAGTGTCCACCATTTTGAGAACCGAAGAGACAACCCATGTCACTTCAAGGGGCCTCCCTCCCATTTTTCTTAAAGAGACACTCTGCTCACTCCCTCACTATCCATCCTTGTGTTCAAACAGTCTTATACTGCCATCCAGTGGTCAAAAAAGGTACTACACTAAAAACAAGTTAACATTTCGTCTTAAATTTGACAATAATGACTAATTATTGTCAAATTTCAAATAATATTATCGGTTATCGCAATAATTTCTGAGACAATTAATCACCCAGCAAAATTTGTTATCGTGACAGGTCTAGTCATCCCTGATCAACACTGTTGTATTTATATCAACAGAGATGCAGAAGTAAAAATGGTGGACTTTTGAAATCCAACAACATATTAAAATGTGAAATGCTTTAGTTACAATGTTTATTCTTCTAAATTGTTTTCCAACTATCAAACAGTTTATTAGTCGTGTCTTCAGACTCTTCCATCACGATGTGCACATGACACACTGTCAGTAAAATAACAGAACATTTACATAAAAACTTTGCAACCTACTTCAAATGACTTTATACTTTACACGTGATAATAAGAAATTCCTCTGTATTAGAATAAAGAACACAAAATACATTCAGTATAACGGATGTCTAAAAACAAAGATTAAAAATAGTTGCATTATTACGTCTGTTAAACTAGCATAAGTAATCTGACAGGATTATAGTCAATAAAAAACTATTAAACTGGTAAAACATTCTATGTAGATGATTTAAACATTTTGTCATCTCACCTTTTCAGATTCCTCAAACACGGGTTTTGCTTTCTTTTTTCCCACCGTCTCTGCAGCTTCTTCACTTTCCTCCCGCATTCGTTTCCTCTCCTCCCCACGCTCTGACCCGGCTGACCTCTGACCTTCAGCAGTGCATGCTTGTTTGTCCGGCGGCCTGTAGAGCATGACCACTGAGGGTTGGGACAGGCTGGGCAGGTAGGCTAAGCAGTGAGGCGAAGGGATGAGGAGGTTCCCTGGGCTGGGCTGTGTTGGCTGAACGGTGGAGGAGGGCTGATCGTACAGTGGCGTGTTGAGGCGACTGCTGAGGAGAACCAGGAAATATTTGATCTCATTCAAGGATCAATGCAGTGAAACGTTCCTAATGAATACAGAAGTACAGGACCACACTGCTAACAGGACAATGATGCTAACGGGACCACACTGAAACAGGACTGCACTGAAATAGAACCACATTGCTAACAGGACCAAGCTGTTGGCAGGACTATGCTGCTAACAGGACCATGCTGCTAATGGAACCACATTGCTAACAGTAGCTATCATGCTGCTAACAGGACCACGCTGCTAACAGCACCACGCTGCTAACAGCACCACGCTGCTAACAGGACCATGCTGCTAATGGAACCACATTGCTAACAGTAGCTATCATGCTGCTGAAAGGACCACACTGCTAACAGCACCACGCTGCTAACAGCACCACGCTGCTAACAGCACCAC